GGGCGCGGGCACCTGGGGAGGGCGGGTCCCCGGGTAGGTGCGGGGAGGGGCTTCGAGGGGCGTGGCTGGGAGAACTTGCCAGGGGCCGGGTAGGAGGGCCGTGAGGGCTCCCTGAGCATCTAGAAAAGACGCTGGCTCCGAAGGCCTGTTAGGGACGGGCTAGCTAGCAGGCGCTCAGGCTCGGAGGACCTGTGGGAGGTCGGGATGTTCTGTGTGGGGAGCACGGGGCTGTGAGAGGCTCAGGAATGCAGTGGGCCTGAGCGGGAGGAGCTTCAAAAGCCTGCAAGGCTTTAGGGCTAGGCCGTTATTTTGAGGATTCACTAGCAGAGGGGCGATACTTAAGACGGGAGTCGTAGGAGGGAGGAGCGCTCACCACCTCCGCAGGTCCTCGCAGTGGCTCTCTACGCATGCGCAGCCAACGGCCTCCAGCGAAGCCGCCAAAAACCCTTGGCTGCCTCCCGCGTCAACTCACTGAGAGGCGGAAGTGGGCGGGGCCTCGGGCGCTCCGCACCACCCCCGCTTTCCGGCCACACCCCCTCGCTCCGCAAGGCACGCCCCCTCCGCGGCTGGCTGCTGCCCACGTGGGCCGTCCCCAGGGCTGGCGGACAGTGGGCGCCTCTCCCTGCAGGCTGGGTGTGCCCGACGCCTGCGGTTTCCTGTGGGAGGAAGCGGCCCGCGGATGTTCACATCACTCCAACTCGTAGCCGCTGAGGCCCGCGAGGGGGAGATCCCGCCACCGCCCTCGGGTCCCTAATTCTCCCCCTTCCTCAGGGCTGTAGCGTTGGGGACTTCCCAGATATCCCCAGAGAGTGCTCAAATCTGGCGTTGATTTCACTCCAGAAACATGACCCGGAGTCCTAGACTCCTGTCCTCAAGGTCCTCAAGGTCTATCTTCCAATGCCTGGTTACTCGACTCCTTCCCAGTCCAAAAAAGTGAGAGCCCCTTTCCCTGCACTCCCAAGAGGAGCGTGATTCCCCCAGCCCCTAATTTTCCCTCAGTGACCTAGACTTTGTTTTAGTTTTGGGGGGAGGTGAGGAGGTTTGGGCTATAGGGTGCCTGCGCTCTTGCCTGAAAGAAAGACAGAAAGCGAGAAATCACTCCCAGGGGGGATGGCCACACCGCAATCCCTTCTCCATTCTCCTCTCAGGATCTTGGGCACCCACGCACATGCGTCCTGCGTGAGTTCAGCCCTGTGTGAGTTTAAACCACCGGGTCCGGGACTCAAACCACGTGGACTACAGGAGAGTTCAGAGATGTAGCCATTATGCCATCTGCTAGTCCGGGCCCAGACTTTGTAACTCACTGGGGATCCTAGTCAGATCCCCAGGCTCTCCTTGCCAGGAGCTTACATTTGCCACTAACTCGTTCTCCTTTCCCCCAGGGACCATCGTTTTAGATTCCCAACTTTTATCTTGGGACCCAGTGGACCCCAAAACTTGCTAATTCCCCCATTTTTTAAGGGTTCTTTTATTTAACTTTATTTTATTTATTTATTTATTTACTTACTTATTTATTTTAATTTGAACAGAGAGGGAGAGAGAGAGGGAAAGTGAGAAAGCAATCTTCCATGTCTGGGACTTGACCCGCGGTTGGCCATGTGGGAGTCCAATGCCCTTAACCACCATGCCACCTGCCTCCCCTCACTCCCCAATTTTTTTTTTTTTTTGAGAGGTTTTTCCTATAGGGCATGCACATTTGCCAGAGAGACAGAAAGTGAGAAATCATTCCCCAGGGAGGATGGCCACACTGCAATCCCTTCTCCGTTTCCTTCTCAGGATTGTAGGCATGCATACATATGTACCTGGCATGAGTTTTAAGCCTCCGGGCCCAGGACTTAAACCACGGTTGAATACATGGGAATCCCACAGCATAACCATCAGGCCATCTGCTGGACCCCATTTCCCTATCTTTGTAGAGACCAGGATGTGAGTTCCCTAGCTCTCATCAGGACCTCAGATAACCAGTTCCCTTCCAAGAGTCGCAGGTGCATGGTGTCATCGCCCCCCAACCCCCACCAACTCAAGAATGCATATGAGAAGTGTTCCAAAAATTCATGGGGGGGAGGCAGTGGGTGGCATGGTCATCAAGGTGCTAGACTCCCACATGGTTGACTCCACGGCTCGAGTCTGGGACCCAGCAGCTTGAAAATTACACCGTGTGCATGTGCATTCATACCCAAAGTCCCAAGAGAAGAATGAAGAAGGGACTGAAGTGTGGCCACCACTCTGGGGAGTGATTTCTCACTTACTCTGTCTCTGTCTCTTTTTTTTTTTTTTTTTTTCCGAGAAGTTTTTGCTATAGGGCACATGTGCTCGCCAGACAGACAGAGAGAGACAGAGAGACAGAAAGCAAGAAATCACCCCCCGGGGGGATGGCCACGCCACAATCCCTTCTCCTCCATTCTCCTCTCGGGATCTTGGGCACGCACGCACACGCGCCCAGCGTGAGTTTAAGCCACCGGGTCCGGGACGCAAACCGCGGTCGACTACCTGGGAGTTCAGCAACATAGCCATTACGCTAACTGCTGGTCCCCTCTGTCTCTGTCTCTTTGGCAGGTTCACGTACCCTATGTCTAAAAAACAAATTTCATGAAAGATGTGTATTATGAAAAAGCTATGCATGGATTTCAAGATTTTTACACCAAAATAAACTCATACTTTCATTCCATTTTCCATGAACATTTTGAAGGCCCCTTGTAATAGTAATGGTCAACATTAAGTTCCTGGTCCTACTACATCTCTGTTAAAACCTTCTAATGGTTTCCCACTGCGCTCAGAATAAAAGCCAAACTCCACCCTGGTCTTCAAGGGCACGCTGACTTCCCTTCCCACTACTCCCTCTGGCTCCCTGTGCTCCAGCCACAGTGGCCCTCTGTCTGCTCCTTGAACAACCAAAGCTTGTTCTCAGGAGTCTTGGCTCTTCCTCTTTGCCAGATTCCAAAGGATTCCTGTCCTCAGGTCTCAACTCAAATGTCACCTCCTGCAAGAGACCTCCCCTGATTACCCTGTTTCAAGTAGCCTCTTCCCACCCTGTCACTCTGGTTTTTTCCTTCAAAGCATTTATCTTCATCTGAAATAAGTGTTGTTTTTATTTTTTGCTAGAGGGCTCATGTATGTACTCACCAGAGAGAAAAGAAAAAGTACCCCCATGAGGCATGGCCAGGCCACAATCCTTTCTCCTACCATTTCTCCCTCCTTTCAGGACCTTTGGATACTCACCATGAAGTGAGCCATGTGGAAATCCAGCCACGCCTACCACTAGGCTTCAGACTTGGCCCTGTACCTTCTGCACTGAGACGTTTTCTCATCATTGTCTGTCTCTCTCTACCAGAAGACAAGCCCAGTAACAGCAACCCTCACGTCTGTTTCCTTCATTAACACCTGCTTCATAGTAGATGTTCAGTAAATGTTTGATAAAGGAGGGAATGAACGTGTTAGGTGTGTTCATGTACTGGTCTTACCTTATTTATTCAGAACAAGTCTCAGAATTACGAGTATGAATATAGTCAATACTATTATACCTACTGTGCAGGTTAGGAAACAGACTCCGAGAGGTGAAATAACTGGCCCGAGATCACCTGGCCAGGAAATTACGGCACTGGGATGCTCAACTCCACTTCCCGTCCCCTTTCAGTTTCACCTTTTTCATCTCCCGTCCTCTGACTCCCACCCTGGAGCCAACTCCAGCAGCCCAAGACCAACCCTGGCTGCGAGAATCTGGCTCCTCCCTCCAGAATCCGAACCCTCCCGAGTATCGCCCCACGTATCGCCCCAGGTCCCATCAGCGAACACAGACATCCGGTCCCAAAACTAGCTGCGGAGACCCCGAGGCCCGGGAATCAGTTCCTCCCACCCCAATGCTTACCCCGCCCCAGAGCGCGGGCTCCGAGGAATTCTCATCTTAGTCCTGGGAGGGAGCCCCAGAAGATGCCTGTCTGGGGGCACTGGGAGGGGGGCCAGAGAATGAGGAACCAGAGTGCTTGGACCCTCCCACTGGCTCCAGACCTCAGCTGGGTGCGGTGAGGGTGGGTATAAAAGGGTCAGTATATATTGAGAGGAGCAGAGGAAGAGAAACGGGAGCGAGAGGAAGAGAGAAGGAGGCTTAGGCAGTGAGGGCAGGAGGGACAGACAAGGAAAGAGAGAGAGAGAAGGAGCGAGAAGGAGAGAAAGAAAGGGCTCCAGAACTGAAGAAGGAGGGAGCGAGCCAGAAGAGAGCCAGCGAGGGAGGGAGGAAGGCTGCGAGGGAGGCGGGGGCCTCCAGAGAGTGGAAGGAGGGAGGAGAAGGGCGGGGCACAGAGGCCCAAACGAGGGACGAGACTCCAACTCTGACTTTTTCTGCAGCTCTCGGTAAGTTTCCGGACCGTTATTCGAGCCGGGATTTCTCTATTTTCTTGGAAGTGCAGCAGTTTGGGAAGGGTACCCCAGGCTGGGAGCGACTCCCCCACTGTCGGCCCCCATGGAAATCTTGTAATTTAAGAAGTAATCTCTTAGGTAATCTCTTAGCATCTACTAGTGATGGTCAAGGAAGGGGTGTGGCCCAGCAAGGTTTTGGGGGTCCTAGCAGAGCACTCCCCTGAGAAACTTCCTGCAGTTTTTCCCCAGGGGCGTCCACTCCTCAGAATTCTGAGATCAGGGCTTTGCACAGGGACACCCCAAGCCTGGGGAACCTCCGGGTGCCTTGGCGGGACACTGAAGGTTCCTGGGAGGCCGGCCCTCTCCCTGCCAACACAGATGTCATCCATATTCTCCAGAAGGTGTCCAGCAGGCCCCAGTCTGGCAGCAGGGTGGGTCGAGGACCTCGTGGACATAGCCAGGGGCTGGGGTTTCCCTGGTGGTGGGTCGAGGACCTCGTGGACATAGCCAGGGGCTGGGGTTTCCCTGGTGCTGGAGGCAGGGGGTGGGATGAGTCATCAGATGACTCACCCAGTCCCCCTCCTGCCCCCACCCCGGACAGGAGTAGTGTGAGTCAAGGCCGCCTGTCCCTGGGGGCAGCTCTCAGCTCTCGGTTAATCTGACAACCTGCACTTTCATACCCTGCCCATATGTGCCCAGGGACAGGGCTCTGAAGAGAGGCCACTCTGCTAGTCCTACGCACTTCAGGACCCAAGGGCCGATCTCTCTCTGGCCCCTGGGGAACGGGGGAGCCCAGGCACCCAGCCCCTTCTCCCTCAGACCCAGGAGTCTGGATGCCCAGACTCCTCCTCCCTCAGACCCTCCTCCATCAGGATTCCGGCTTCTAACCTGCTTCTGTGCCATCCTCTGGAGACCCCCAACTCCTGACTACCCCCTCCCCAGGCTTCCGCTGCAACCATGTCGCTCCTCCTGCTGGTGGTCTCGGCCCTGCACATCCTCATCCTCATCCTCCTTTTCGTGGCCACTTTAGACAAGGTAAGCCTCGGAGCATCAGGCCTCCCGCTCTCCTGCGGCTCCCGCCACGCCCCACCTCCAAAGCCACGCTGGCCCCGCCCCCTTTCCCCGGGCATGGACCCTTTTGAGCTCCACCTTCAATGCCTCGCCCTTGACCCACCCTCTTCCCCACCTAAGGCGGGCTGCCCCTTCTGCAGCACCCAGAGTTTGTCCCAATCCTGCCCACCGCTCCCCCGACCCCGCCCACTCTCCCTCCCTAACCTGGCCGTGGTTTCTCTGCCCATCAGTCCTGGTGGACTCTCCCCGGCAAGGAGTCCCTGAATCTCTGGTACGACTGCACGTGGAACAATGACACCCAAACGTGGGCCTGCAGTAACGTCAGTGAGAACGGTGAGGGGCCAGGGGCCGCAGGACTGGGAACCGAGCACTGACTACCCCCCCAAGTGCGAGTGGGGCAAATGCGGGCTTCGCTGTCTAGACGGTAGAGACAACATGCTCCTTTTATAGAGGATAGGCGAAGGGCCCCCCTTGTGATTCAGAAAGGGTGAAAGTGATATGCTACAGGAATGGAGAGAGAGCCTCCAAGATTCTGAGAAGACAGAATTCTGTCTCCAAAATTCTACGGCGATGGCTGGGGTTGTTGAGTGAAGGCCTGGGACCAATCCGAGTTCCAAGAGGAATTTGGAACCACATTAAGGTCAAATGGGACTAGTTGCACCTGAGTTCTAAAGGGATGGCGCTTCATCCACGGAACATTCTAAGGGCAAGGACCAAATGCTTTTCTCCTTAGATCAAAGCGAGTGGTGGTCTGCTCTCACGACTTAACATGGCCCTAGAGGTAGCCAATGCAACCAGGCAAGAAAAAGAAAGGCCTGGGAAAGGAATTAGTAAAAAGTCTCTCTTCCTGGGGCCAGCTGGTCATGTGGTTAAGGCACTGCACTCCCACCTAGCCAACCGTGGTTCAAGTCCCAGACCCCAGCAGGATGAAAATCATGCTGGGCACGTGTATGCGCCTGCCCAAAATCTAAAGGGGAGAATGGAGGAGAAGAGACTGTGGCATGGTCATCTCCCCAGGGGGAAATGGCTCACTTTCTATCTCTCTGGTGGGTGCACGCACCTTATAGCAAAAATCTCTCTTTAAAAAAAAAAAGTGTATAAGAAGCAAACCTTTAAGGAAAAAATTTAGGATCTCAATAGTAATGACCTTCTGTGGGAAATTGGCATTATTTAAAAAGAAAAACAAAGTATTGGGAGTCAGCAGGTGGCAAGATGATTGAGGTGCGGGACTCTCACATGGCTGACCACGGTTTGAGTCCTAGACCTGGTGGCTTGCTTTCTAACTTTCCTTCTAGCTGTTTCTATGTCTCTCTCTGGTGAGTGCATGTGCTCTATAGCAAATTTTAAAAAAAGAAAGAAAAAGAAAATATTGCCTTTTTTTCATTGCCAGGTGTGTACACTCACCAGAGAGAGACAAAGGAAGAGGAAGAAAGCACCCTGGCGTGGGGTGTGGCCATGACGCAATCCCTCCTCCTTCCTCTCCCTCCTTTGGGATGTGTGCATACCTGCACACCCAGTGTTTTTCAAGCCTCCTGGTCCAGTACTCAAACTGATATCCAGCTCCCTTAACCACCAGGCCATGGTCTGGTCCTTATGTAGAAAATCTTTAAAATTCTGCAACAACTAAAATTGATAGAGAATTTAGCCAGGTCACAGGGCTCCAGGTCAACGTAAGTGACACTCCCAAGTACCTCCCTCCGCTTGTGTGACTCTAAATGGGGCGAGGGGCAGATGAGGAGAGAGCAGGCGGAGCTGGGACTGGGCCCACTGTGACATCCGTCTCCCCGCCTCCTTCCTGCAGGCTGGCTGAAGGCGGTGCAGGTCCTCATGGTGCTCTCCCTCATCCTCTGCTGTCTGTCCTTCATCCTCTTCATGTTCCAGCTCTATACCATGCGCAGAGGAGGCCTCTTCTACGCCACCGGCCTCTGCCAGCTTTGCACCAGTAAGCACCGCCCCTGCCCCTGGGAAGTGAGGGGATGGGGGGGACTGTCAGAACACCCCGGGGAGTCCTGTGGGTGGACATCTGCTAGAAGAAAACTACTTTCAAAAGCCCAAGAAACACCTAAGGTCCCTCCATGGCCTACCTTTCTGCCCCAGGGGCTGATGGGAGTTGTAGTGTTCAGTGATTCACCGGTGATTTTGACGTGTCTCCGAATCCTGAGGGACCCAGCATGGGGGAACTTAGGGCTTCAAGGAGCCAGGGCTGGGGAAGGGGATATGGGTAAATAATTTGGGTCCTCCCCAGGGATGGGGAGGGTGACTAATACCCAGAAGAGATCTCTGAATCATGATAATAAAAGTATCCATGTCCGCTAACTGCTATTTCTTGGGAACCCACTGTGCAGACAGGTGCTTCGTGGACTTATGCTTACTTTAATTGTTTGACTTTGAGAGCATATGGTTAAATCAATCCATCCTCGGTTTTGTGAACATTATCTTCCTAGGTTCACGCAAAGCCCCTCTGGTTTTATTAATTCACTAGTGCGTGTTTGCCTTGTTTAAAAAAAAAAACACTCAAAAATATTCCCTGGGTGGATGGATGGATAATGGACCTGTGGCGGATGGATGGATGTTGGATGGACGGATGTTATTGTCCCGTTTTATGGAGGAGTAAAGGGAAGGTGTGATTAGTTTCCCGAGGTCACACTGCAGTAGAGAATACCACAGCTCCCAGCAGGCGGCCGTACTGCCCACCCTGGACTGGTGGTCTTCACCCCCAGAGGTTATTGGGAAACGTGGCCTCCTAGCGGGCGCTGGACAAGGGGTTCCTCTCTTCCCGCAGGCGTGGCAGTGTTTTCCGGGGCCCTGATCTACACCATCCACGCCGAGGAGATCCTAGCGAAGCACCCGCGAGGGGGCAGCTTTGGTTACTGCTTCGCCCTCGCCTGGGTGGCCTTCCCCCTCGCCCTGATCAGCGGCATCGTCTACATCCACCTGCGGAAGCGGGAGTGAGCGCCCGGCCTTGCCCTGTCGCCGCCTCCGCTCCAGGCCCCTCCCGCTGGCCCCGAATCCCCCAAGCCTCCCCTAGGAAATAAAACCGTTTAACCACGGACTCTGCTTTCGCCTCCTTTCATCCTTCCTTCCCCCCTCCAGAGACCCAGGCTGCAGACCCGCCGCTCATGAATCAGGGAAGACCCCCCACGCCAGCCGCTCTGTCCTCAGAACGCTGATTCGCTAACCTCCAGCCCCTTCCTTCTCGGGACGCACTAGTCTCTAACCGGGCGCCCTTTCCCTCCCACAGCTCCAAGAGCCTGGACCCTCCCTTCTTGGGTCCCGGGAGCCCGCTGAGAGGCACCCGAGCTCCCTACGTGTCTGGGGAAGAACCAGGTGTCTGCGTCTCCGCCAGCCATGTAGGGTTCGGCAGGGAGCGTTCCTTGCTCAAAGTTCTGTCCCTGTCCCTCTGGGATTCAGGCACTGTGTGTTTCTAGACTGGATCTTTTTTCTCTTTTTTTGAGAGATGTTGCCTTAGAGCGCATGTGTTTGCGGGAGAGACAGAAAGCAAGAAATCACCCCTGGGGAGGGAGGATGGTCCTCGGGGTTTGAGGTGCACACACACATACGCCTAGTGCGTTTCAAGCTACTGGGTCTGGGACTTGAGCCCTGGTCAGCCAAGTGGGAGTCCAGCGACGTAACCATTACGCCATCTGCTGGTCCCAGTGGATCTCTTTTTGATTGTTTCTACGTCCCAATCCCTCTTTGCCCCTCTGTTCCCAAAGGGAGCCTCCAGCCCATATAGCACCTTAGTAAAAGCTGGAAGGCACCCCCTTCTTCCTGGCAGGCCCCATACCAGGACACGGTCCCATACCAGGGCACAGGCTAGATTTTAGGGCCACCTACTCCCTGTGTGCCTTCATGTGAACAATCTGCACAACTGCACGTAGCCACCCGTCTCCCCTGGGGAGACAGAACCAGGGCCCTCAGGAATCTGGTCCTCCCAAGTTCGTCTGGGTTTCACCAGCCCAGAACCCAGCCTCTCTCTAGGACTATGACTTTCTCTGTCCCGGACCCACCACATGCATCAGTGTCCCCCCACCCGACATTCCGATACTTTCCTACTCCTGCGGCCACCTCATTCACCCAGATTTATTAAACATGATTTATTCCTTTGAGAGAGGAGAGCAGGGAGAAATTTATAGACCAATAGATATTGTACAGGCTGCTGCTGGTGGGGGATCCAGACCGAGGTAGCTTCTGTAGAAAGGGAGCTGGGCAGGGAAGGCACCTGAGGTGGTTGGGAGCCTGAGTGGGAGCGAGTCTCCGAGGAGGGCAGAGTGGCTCCTCCAGGCCCACAGCTTTCTGCCTAGCACAGGGTTCCCAGCCCCTTCTGCCTGGACACCCTGATCAGCAGTTGACCAGATGGCCCAACACACAGCAGCACGATGGACAGAAAGGTCAGCTTTGGGAAATCTCGATTGGATGCTTCTCTGCAACTGACCGCCCAAGGTTGACGATGCCCAGCAGCTGTCATGGCCGTTTGCCAGCGGGGCAGGACTAAACGGCTCTCATTGGCTGCCGGCCGGGGCCCCGCCTTCGTGCACATGATGGGCAGTTTGTCCAGAGCCCGCTAAAAAGACAGTGATATATAGCCTCTGGGTGTTGGGGGCACTCAGCTTTCACACTGCCTGGTGGGTTATAGAAACCAGAGCCGAGCAGCTGTGATTGGCTGACACTCCCACTGCCTCAGCCAAACCACGCCCGGACGTTTATAGTGGGGGTGGGACTAAGAAATGGAATGGAAGCAGAGCTAAATACCCTTGATTGGCTGTTCTTCAGGGGGGGAAATGCCTAGCAACTGTTGGCTGCTTTGATTGGCCTTATTGAAGCACAGAGCGTAGCAAAATAATTGCCGTCAGTAATTGGAAATTGGGGTGACAAAATGTAGGAGCTGTGATTGACAGCTTGTCGTGGAGGAGGCGGGGCTTAGTTCCTAGCCAGGTGGCAGGACCCGGGCAGGGCACGGCCACTTCAGTCAGGGGTTGCTGCTGGGTGCGGCCTGGGGACACTCGGCAGTGACTGCAGCCAAAGGGTCTAGTTTGGGGAAACCTGGGGGTGGGTACAGCCCAACGCTGGGGGTCAGGGCTTGTAGGTGGGCCAGGGCCCGAGTTCCGTTAAAGGCCACGTCACAGCCTGACTGGGAAAGAAGCCAGCTCTCCACCTCCGACTGGAGCCACCTGGAGGTCTCTGCAGGGGGAGAGACAGGTGTGGTGAGGTCAGACTCGAAAGGACTGGAAGGACTACCAGGGGCCAGCAGGGCAAAGAATAGGAGGGGCCTGGGTTTGGGAAAATCCTAGGGGCAAGCTCTAGGCCTGCAGGGGAGTGCTCTGGGGCTCTTGTATGGGGACAAATCAGGCCTGTTCAGGGACAAGTGGGGCTCCCGAGGAGACCACTCATGGCTCACACAGGGAGGAGACAGGGCCTCAGGTAGGGACTGTGGGTTCTTGGACAGGAAGGAGGCTGGGAGAGCAGGCATGCCATCAATCCGATACCCTCACGGAGTCTGAGGTCAGGGGAGGGAGCTCACGCCAGGGACCAAGGTCGGAAGTTGGGATCAAGGTCCCTGTCTGCTGAGGGCAGAGGACAGGGTCTCCTAGCAAATGTGTCAGGTTCACAACAGCGGGAACAGGGATGGGGGTGGGCGGGCGGTGGGAAGCGTGGGGACTATTTAATCCCCAACCCCTCTCCCCCCTCCCCTGGCGCCACGTCCCTGGGGCGTCCCTGGGTCGCGTCCTACCTTCTGGAGGGCCGCTGGCGCCCCCAGGCCGCCGGGCCAGGAAGCTGTGCGCCAGCAGCGCCTCCTTGGTGTGCTCGTCCTGCGCGCGCAGGGCCAGGGCGCTGAGCAGCTCCGAGTTGTTGGACGTGCTGCGGTAGTACAACATGTGCGCCAGCTCCAGTGCCTGCACGCTGCGCCGCTGCCCGAACATCTGCAGGCGGGACCCGCGCGCTCAGCCTCCTGGTGCCAGGAGCCCGTGCGCGCCCCAGCCAGGCAAGCCCCCCAGGCCATTCACGCTGGGGCGGTTCTCCCCGCAGACTGCCAGCCCGAGGTGGCATGGCGGTAGAGGTGGGCTGTCCCCAGACCAATGCTGTTTGGGTCCCTGGGGCTGGGGTCCAAACATCTGTATCCCGCCTGGTTCGGAAGACTACTTTTTGGTAAACACTGCACCGACTGGCTCAGTTGATCCACGAATTATTAGATACGCTCAAAATTTCGTGGATGATTTGAGCTTCAGACTTGGAAGTTCTCCTCACAATGAGGACATAATAATGCACTTCCTGGGACTAGCAGAAGGCATAGTGGCTATGTCCTGGACTCCCACATGGCCAACCGTGGTGCCTGCCAGTCCTGGACCCGGTGGCCTCAAACTCACGTCAGGTGCATGTGCATGCCCAGGATCCCAAGAGGAGAATGGAGAAGAAACTGTGTTGTGGCCATTCCCCCTTGAGGGAGTGATTTCTTGCTTTCTGTCTCTCTATCTCTGTCTCTCCAACAAGCGCAGGCACCCTATAGCAAAAATCTCTCTAAAAAAATAATAAAGTACTTCGTGATGACATGCCAGGGTTTGCTTCGAAATGACGCCGCGGTGGGGGAGCAGGGGTCGTTAGAGGAAATCAGATCAACCTGTTGGTTGAAGCTGCCGGCCGCTGGCTGCGGGAGAGCTTATCACGCTATTCTATTTCTGTGTTTGTTTGAACTTTTCCAGAATGAAAAAAAAAATTAAATATGAAATGGTAAAGAGGAGTGGGGGGAAGGCAAGCGTTGGGAGGGGCAGGTCTGGGCCCAGCTGTATCGGCTGCCCCCTCCCACCCCACGGCTGCTCCTCCCGCATCCTTGGTGTCCCTAAGGAGGTGAGGTGAGAGCCCGCCCTGCCCTCTGAGCCCACGCTGAACACCCGTGCCTAGAGTCCTCCGTTCACCCTCGGATGGATGCCTGGATGCCCGTCCCAGCTTAGGCCCTGCCAGCTTCGATGTGGCGCCGCCTAATCGAGGTGGATGCCAGGGAGGGGCCAGGAAGTCCCTACACATGAACTTGCGGAGAGCTGGTCCACAGGGGCACCTGACAAACATCGGCCACTGTGGGCCGTCGTCCACACCCGGGGCTGGCTGCCCACTCCTACGCAGGCCCGAGGTGAGATGCCTCTGAGGGCAACGCCCAGAGAATCACTGAAATGCCCTGCACGGTGCCAGTGGCCCGGCTGCCTGTGAGATGTGCCCTCTTCTCACGCCGGGCACTGCCGGCTCTGGTCCCTGTGCCGGAGCGAATCGCCATTTCTTTGGCTGAGGGGGGAGGCAGAGGGACCGGCGGGAACAGAGAGGGCACTCATTGTGTCGAGCTCGCCCTCCTTCAGGAGCAGGTCATGCCACTCCATGACACGCAGATGAAGCTAGAATCTCCCTGGAGAGGGGTCACCGCCCGCAGCTGGGCCATCCTGTCACCTCGCTACGGTGCACGCTGAGCACAGCATCTTCCCGGACCCGCTCTTTCCTCCTCCCCTGGGATCCGTATTTGGGGCAGCCCCATGGTCCAGAGTCACAGGCCACCTCTGGTCCCCGGGGACTTGCTCCTGGCTGGCTCCTCCTGCTGCCACTCCCCCCAACCTCTGGCCCAGCCCCTCCTCTCTGGCCCCCAGGTGCATGCCTGGCTCAGGTTTTAGCTTTTCCTGCCTGGCCAACTGCCCCAGGCCTCAGGCCTCTGCAGACTCAGTCCCCCCACCACCACCACCCAGTCTGGCCCCACAGAGCCCTGGACTGACCCTGTCCCGCCCCGCTCACAGCCCTCCCAAGGCTACCCAGTGCCCTCAGAGAGCCCATCCACCTTGGCCTGCTCCTGAATGTCACCCTCAGAACAAGCCAGGGTACCCTGAACAGGCCCTCTCACTCGGTCCTCTGGGCCTGGGAACGAGCCACGTCACCCCCGCTCCTCCCTTGGAGACCACTCCCCGTCTCATCCTCAAGGTTCGGAAGGCACACTGCTCCCACAGAGCTGTGGTGACCCTGGCTCCCGCAGCATCTGCCACTACTTCCACCAGTGGCCACGTGCCCGCGCCTCTCCCTCCAGGGCAAGATCAGCCCATGCCTCTCTGGGATGCCAGTTCAACACCCCTTCCGCCAGGCTGCCCACAGGCCTGCTCTGCTCTGGGCTGAGAGGGTTCACAGGGAAGCCAAATAGGACTCCCGAGGACTGAATGTACAGGCTGGCTGGTGGCACGGTGGTAAAGGCGCTGGACTCCCATGCGGTCAACCATGGTTCAAGCCCTAGATTGGGAGACTTGCTTTGTCACTCTCTCTCTCTGGTCAAATTAAATAATCATAATAAAAAAAAATAAATAATTATTTAACAAAAATTTAAAAGGCTGAATGAGTAAACGAATGAACTGAACTAACTAGTGAAGTAGAATTTAAACTGGTGGCCCCCCCCGGGGCTACCAAAGGGTGGAGCAGATGGTCCACCCTGGGCTAGACTCAGCGTCTCCTCCCAACACAGCCCCACGGCCTCCGTCAGCCTCCCTGCCTTTAGCCTCACCCCTCCGGTCTGTCCTCCCCGAGGTCCCTCTGTGCTCGCAGCCCTTCCATGGCTCCTGCTCCCCTGAGGATGAAGCCCAGGGCCCTTCAGTCCTCTATAAAGCTTTGCTCCAGTCCCTCCTGAGCTCGGGTCCTGAGCAGGAGTTATTTCCTCCCTGGCTGGGCTGCTGGCCGGCATCCTAGCACCTCTTCCAGCAGCGCAGCCTGGCTATTATCTGCGGGATTTATTACCAGGCTCGCTGCAAGCCTGTCGGGATGGCTGCAAACAGCTTGCAAACCAATGAGCCAGCAAGTGAACGATCGGGCACGACGGGCCTTACGCCAGTCCGCGTTCCCAGGGCCAGGGCCAAGCCTGGGGAGAATCAGTCAAAGGCAGCAGCCCTCCAGGCCAGCTCTGCCTCAAGGCACGGCAAGCAGTCGCTCAGATGGCAGAGCATGAGTGGGAGCCAGCCCCCACCTGCCCCTCCGCCACGCGCCTCTGGATGGTGAACAATCTGTGTAACTGTACAAGGCCCTGTGCTCACATGCAGCAGAATCAGAAAGAAGGCTTGTTAGAAACGCAGTTCCCAGGGCCAGCACGTGGCATAGTGGTTAAGGCACTGCACTCCCACATGGCTGACTGCAGTTCAAGTCTCTGAACTGGTGGCTTGAAATTCACACCAGGCACGTGTGTACGCGTGCCCAAGATCCCAGGAGGAGAATGGAAAAGGGATTGAGGTGTGGTTGTCCCCACTGGAGAACAATTTCTTGCTTTCTGTCTGTCTCTCCAGCAAGCACATACATCCTATAGCAAAAATCTCTAAAAATTTTAAAAAAAGAAAAAAAATGCCGTTTCCTGGACCCTAGTCCCAGGGTTTTCAATTTAGTCCTTTTGAGCTAGAGCCAGGAGGCTGCATTTATAAACCAGCTCTCCCAGCAATAATGACACCCAGTTAGGATGGGGACTCGGAGAACAAACCGTGCAATTAGCGACGATAATCATCATGACGGCCAGCTCTCGTGCAGCACTTCCGTACCGTGTGCCTGCATATTCATTCACGTGTCCCCACAACGACCTAGGCGTTCCGTCCTACTCCCTGCTCCACTTTGCAGATTCGGGAGCTGAGGCACAGAGAGCTTAAGCAACTTGATCGAGATCACACAGCTAGAAGACAGCAGAATCAGACTGGAATCCAGTGGCTCCAAAACACACACCCTTCGCCGGGTCACTGAAGTGCACTACAGCTGGTGCTCACGGTGGGTGTTAACTCCCGGGGCGCACCTCCCATGGGCCAGAGCTATGCCTGGTGCTTTCGTGGCTCACCCATTTCAGGCTCACAACTACCCTACCAGATGGGCCTCACTATCACCCCCACTTTCCAGAGGAAACCGAGGCACAGTGTGATTATGAAACCTGCCCGAGGTGCTCTAAGGAAGGCAGGCAGACGGGCAGACGGGCCAGACAGACGGAAGGACAGTGCGGGGCAGGAGTAAGAGGAGGCCTGGCCCTCTGGAGGCGGAGAGGCAGGGGCACGGCGGGCTGGCGGGGGCCCTCACCTTGGAGGCCCGCAGGCCCATGAAGGCGGCAAAGAGCAGCAGCAGCAGGGAGGTGGCCATCTTGAGGTCGGACAGCACCACCATGCCCACGTTGACGAAGAACACCACGCCCGAGACCACCAGCGTGAGGTTGAGCAGGGCCCGCTGCAGGGTGGGCGTGCGCACCTTCAGCTCGGGCAGCAGCTGCTCCAGGCCCTCCAGCGGCGTGTCCTTGAAGCTCTTCAGCACCAGGTGGCCGCGTTTTGTCCGGGCTGCCAGCACCACCCGCTTAAAGTATCTCCTGACAGAGACGGGGGTTGGTGGGGTCGAGTCTGGCCCGTGGAGCCCCCTCCAGCCCCCGGACACTCTCTCTGGCTCTACGGTGACACGCCATCTTAAAAACTGCTCAACAATGGTGGGGCGGGGGACCAGAGTCTGTCCAGTGACAGGGGTCAGTAAAATCCCACGATCCCTCCTACTGGAGATACAGGCTGCTCGGCAGAACCCTGGCTTGGCCACTTCTTCAGAAGGCGGGCTTCCCTCTCTGAACCTCCATTTTCCTCAACTGGAACGCGGAGAAGGCAGCCCCTACTCTTTCTCTTCCCTGGGAATGGCCGTCCTCGCTCTCTCTCGAGAAGAAAAGGCAGCATTTGGACAAGTCACACCTCCCCCGTCTCAGCTTCCCTCCCCGGCCCCGGACACCCAAACCCAGACACTGACCTGGCGGTCCCCTCTCGACTCTAACCTCGCTCCCTCCTGCTGCAACGAGAGCCGCCTCACCTCTCTGCAGGGGGCAACTTGGTGAAGAAGCTGCGCTTGGAGCCCACGCTGGACTTACGGGGCATCTGCCCGACTCGTTGGCCCAGGGCCCAGAACTGCATGTAGATGTACTGGTCCAAGTTTATTGTCACCTGAAGGAAGCAGAGGCAGCAGGAGATGGAATTAGACGCGCCTCCTGGAAATGATGCACCCACACATGGCTGTCTGTGTTGAGTACTGCACGGGACAGAACCATTCACACGGTAGTCATCTGTCACCTCATTTCTTAAGATTTAAGATGCCAGTGATTGGGACCAGCAGTTGGCGTAATGGCTGTGTCGCTGGACTCCCATGTAGCCAACCATGGTTTGAGTCCCAGACCTGGTGGCTTAAACTCATGCCAGGCGCGCGTGC